CTTTGGCTGGAGGAGGTCACTATGATTAAAAGCTCAGCTTGTCAAATCTGTAACCGGCTGTTCGATGGAAGACTGTTTTTTTGGTGAAGGTGATGTTTTAAACAGGTTGGCCTTGCTGAGGCTCGGTTATACCTAATGACACTTTTTGCTTTTGTAAATTTATCAGCTAATAGAGGTGATTGCGTAGCATCAGCGGGATTCGGCGCTAACTTAGGCCGTGCCTTTCTGGCCTGTGGTCACAAATCAAATCAAGATCGCCATGCCAATGTTTCAAACGCACACAGGCAAGTGCAGAGAAACCCTACACCAGTATGAGTCAGGCTATAAGGCACCAGGGAGCACGCAGGCCTGTTGCAGGGCAGGGTAGCAAAGCTGGTTCAAAGTGCGCTGCAAGTTGGCAGATGGATCAAAAGCTCTGCTCTGAGCCATGCCACTCAATGTTGCATGACACTTGAAATAAATAGTGGGGAAGCGCTGCACAGTGCAACCAACAGTCATCTGCGTACCAATGCAGGGTTATTCCAAGACACTGAGGAACATTTTTATTATTGTGTCTGTAAGCAAAGCCTTGATATAAGTCTGTTCTGTCAACTGCAGACATACATTGGGGCCTTCAAAATAAGGCACCTCTTCATGTAGCTGATTAAGTTTCAGCTATTTCAGATTTTCTTGTATAAGCAGAGTGATATTTTCCTGGAATAGGATTTTTCTTTCTGCAAATGTTGTGATTTGCCTTGCAAGGACTAACTTATTTCACTGTTACATTTACTAGAATCTGAAATTATTCTTATAGCTAATCAAATACTAACTAGGTGTCAATCTGTGCTCATTGCTCTTTCTGCTGAAAATACATTATCAAAACTACTGGTGCAAAAGTTTACTATAATTTTAAACCAATGCCAATTTGTGTCATTGCATCAGTTCTTTTTATCTCCCAGTTCTGCCCTTACCCTTAAAATATTTCGTGGTATACTCATAGAAAAGTGGATCTCCAATGGTAATAGACGCTTCTGGTCGATGTGGTTCTGTTAACATCTTCTTGACGTCTTGTTTGCACTGGAAGTATTTGCGGTAGACTGTGAAGCGACCAAACTGAGAATCGGTTCCTTTGTGTCATGGTTTTCAACTAGAAAAATGTGAACTGCACAAAAATGATGTTCAACCGTGATGGTACATTGGATTAGAAGATGGGTGGATGTATCAGGGCCTCATCTGTTGTAATGCAGAAGACATCCAGATCACCAAGAAATAGTTTCTGCTTTGCAGTCTAGACCAGTGGTCTCAAACTCCAGTCCTCACTTTCAGATGTCTTTCTGCTTCAGCAGACTTGGCTCCAATATTAGATCATTACCAGAGCTCTGTAGAGCTTTACTGCATGCTAGTGAGGCAGTAGAACAAGAGACGCATCTAAAAGTTGTAGGACTCTGGCCCTCAAGGAATGCAGTTTGAATCCGCTGGTCTAGACAAGACTGCAGGAGGTTGTCATCATAAAACTGAACACTCACACACACATGCACACCTGCACACACACAAATTCATGTTGGAAATCTTTGCTGCTCCTTCAATCCTTCTTACATTTTTTGTAAAATAATTTTAAAGAATCACCCAGTTATTGTATTGCCCCTAATTTCCATCAGTTACTGATGAATGTCTTCACTGTGCCACTTTATGATTAATGATGTGGAACTTGATAAAATGATGTTTTACACTTTTCCTAATGATACCTTTGTTCAATGAGATCCCTCTACTTCTCCATTAATTATAGGTTTAACTGAATGAGTTAAACTTGTATTAAAAAAAAAAAACTAGGACAGTTGAATTAATTTCAGTTTATCAAAATTAAATGCAATTGATGGCAGATTTAAGCACAAGAAGAACAGATGTACTTCAGAAAAGTATTGTGTAACCACATGTGTTGTATTGAAATATAGAACAGATTAAATGATATAAGTCACAAAGTTTTGAAGTGACATATCATTATAACAATCATAACATTTAACAGTGGTGTTTACAGTTTTGAATTCCACTGCAGCTTACATAGTATTAGATATGTTTTGCTGTATACCTTCAAAAATGAGATTGAGAAAATACTTACATTCTAATTTATAATGAAATACATGAGCACTGGAAACTATCTTCAGCTATAACTCTGAAAGCTTTACACCTGCAGTGGACTTTGGCAACAGGACTGTTTTCTTACCAAGGAACAACACTATTATGAGTTTTACATAGTTTGTTAAATGAGTATATAAAAATATTAGTACATTTTTTTTGTGTTATTATATTTGATGAACCTATTCCAATGTTATCCTCCTTAAACCAGAAATCAAGAAAAGAGGAAAAAAGGAGTACCCACATCTATGAAGGTAGGATTGCTTCAAACATGGTCGTACAACAACATCCCACAACGTTATCCTGGCATGTTGCGGATAGAAGTAAGAGTCACTGCTTTGTAAAACTATTCAAAAGTCTCTGCAAACTCAAAACTCACTCCAAATTAAACTATTATGGTAGCTCAGGGCATCTTAACTCACAGCCAACTCAACATACCAAAACAATCACCAGTATAAGATATCAAAACAGACTTGTATTATAATCTTCTTCATGTTCTGATAAAAATCACACCCATATCCCACAGAATGCAGCTTTGAAGTATGAGAACGTGCAGATTAGTGATATTTAATCTTCAAATGTGCTGCTTGTAGGTCACATTATTAGTGACCTACAAGTAGCAACAAAAGTGAAGTTTTTCAGTTTCCTTGCCAAAGTACTTACTCTTGTAGACAGAGCAACTTAAAAATGTGTCTTTTTGTCTCTGTTGTGACAAAGATTATTTTTAACTGAAATTCTTAAAAATAACTTTCCTCTGCTGCAGAATGCAGTTTCTCTCTGCACAGTCTCAGCATGTCAGTCTCTTCACAGAGAAAGTTCTTCTTTCTGTTCAACAATCCCATACCAACAAGCATTGAATTCCGACTGTGTCTCCCCCAGAAGTGCCAAGGCAAATGACCTTGCCCATGCCAAGACGTAGGCTTTCAGTCCGCTTTTAGTCCGCAGCAAGCCGGAGCTGGCAGGACGATCAAAGGCTTTCCACTGAATCCTGATACTAAATGTTGCTGATGATCTGTCTGAGAGGGGCAGTCGTCTGATCATACCAAACAAGCAGAGCGACTGGGCAGTGTCAGGTCCTGGTCTGAGCTCAGAGTCCCTTGGAACACTCCTTTGAATGAAGAGTTTTGATTCAGCTCACTGAAAACTCAAACAGTGAAAGGTGTGGAAGAAAATAAAGGCAATGGGGAAAGACGCATCATTTTATTAATTTAGCAAGAAAATGACATTGTTGTGATTAAAATGAAGGAAAACAATGAAAAGTTTGAATACAGAATAAAATTGATGATCCAGTTATTATTAATCAAAGATAACTAACAAATGGGTTTGCTGCATTGATTTAAAGGAACTCAGCATGATTGCAGTTTTCTGGAAGTTTCTTCCAGATTCGAGAAGTATAAAAAGTGACTGCGTCTTTTTCATGTTTGTTTTTCATTACCAAAACCCCGACAACAAATTTATGTGTAGGCTTTTATGTATCATGTACAGAACAAAATGTTCATCTGCAGTAACGTTATTAAAATATTTTGGAGTGGATTGTAAAGGAGGGTAGTAGTTTGAAGTGACGTTTTGATTTTTTTTTTTATTTTGTTTCTCCTTTCTCTATAACGGCCCACGTAGTTTTAAAACTGCAAATATAGATATCAGAATTGCAGAGAAAAGTCAAAGCGTAGCTTTTCTATCCCGAATGACTGAAATCAATCTGCCTGAAATGGAAATGCAGCCTGATGAATGAATGAACACCAGGAATGCATAAGGAGAGAGTGACGACAGGTAGGAGGTGAGAGGAAGTTTTGGGTGCAAACACAGGTTTGAGCTTGTTTTATTAGCAATGTGACCCACACCAACAGACAAAAACATAAGCAATCTGGTGAAAATCCCAAACTCTGTAGATCAGCAATCTAACTCTGACATAATCCCAATGAGAACAGGTGAACGTGAGCGCAATCTAAAAGCAGGGTTGCTACTGGTTGAAACACCACACACTGTAAGTACTGCTGTAAACCATTTGCGTTATTCTCTTAATCACTGTCACCAATCATTTTACCAATCAAGTGAGAGCTGGAAATCACATCCCACTTCGTAGTTGTGCTAATATTCTCAAGGTGACACAAATACTAAAACACACAAACACAAAGAGATACATTCAAATCTTCAATCCTGACATCCTTGCTTTCCTTTGTGCCACTTGAGTCTTACTTGTGCGCTTATCAAAAGATGAGGAGCGAGACGCTCCGATATGCTGGTAGAGTTTCACAAACAAAGACTGCTCCATCGCCCTCAGTGTTGACGCCACAAGGTCCAGAGTTGTCAAAAGTATCTGACCTCCATCTCTGGGAGATAACGCAGCAGAACAAAAAGCTGGAGGAGAGAAGAGTAAGAAAAGCAGATACAAATCAAATGCATGCTCAAACAAACTCAACTGGCGTCAGCAGCGGCGAAAAATAAAGAACAATGTCGCCTAGGCAACACTGGTTCATTTTCCCACCTTCTCTCAGTCTTTAGATGTAGGAAATTATACTTCATGAAACATCAAACAGTATGTTGTGTGATTATTGACTTTTAGACAACCAGTGTCATTTTGAAAACAACAAAGAAAAATTAATTGGAAAAGTTGCTATAGAAATCTTCTGGTAAAATATTCATGCTCTTTAAATAACGTTGAAAAAACCTCGTCTCTGCTTTATAACCCACCTGCTTTGTGAGCTATTTTGGGCTCTTCATCATTTTAGAGAGCTTTTCAAGGAAAAGTAAAACAGAAATCCACATTTGAATTCTGATCCACAAACCACATCATAAATGAACGGCGCAATTCAAAGCTGCGATGCTTTAAGTTTTATAAGGTTTCTTTTGTATTGGTGCAGCATGAGCAGATATTAGTAAAACACAACTGGATTTGATATATTTTTATTGCACTGCATAGGAGGATGAAGATATTGGTGTTCAGAAATATAGCCAAAGCAGACTTTTACATGAAATTATGGTAACCAAAAATATTTATCTTTAATAAGTACTATGCAGCAGTATATACAGAATTGCAAAAATATGCCTTACATTTAAATAATGCATATGTGTTGCTTGGATTGGAGTTATTATATTTATAGCTTTAAATTCAAGTTCTCATATTGCAAAGTGCACTTAGACTGACTTTCCATTTATTTGCCTGTCAGGCTCTCAGCAGAGCCTCCACAGAAAAAGGCAGAGGCTTTGCGGTCGGAGTCCTCACTGAGCCACGATGAGAACCCTCCACAAAGTCCAAACAAGGGTTTGCTTCGGTGGAAGGAGGCCCCATGTTCCAGCCTCTTCCTGCTAAATGTCTGGAATCAAAAGTCCTGCTGTGAGCCGGGACACCCAATTCATTTAGAACAGGCAGATCTGATCCAAACGTTGAGAGTCTGGATGTTGAAAAATGATCTAAGTTGATTGTTTCTGTTTGTTTTAACATCGGTTTGACAAAGCAGATGCACGGTACGCCGTTATCGGTTTTGAGTCGTTGCTGTGATGCTGGGGGTGTTGGCTCTGGCTCGCCTCTCTTCCCACAGTCTCTCCAACCATTCTGCGTCTCTTTATCCTCCCTGTGCTGCGCTGAGCTCTGGGTTGATAAAAAGTCATCATAGTGGTCTCCTGTGGAGCGCCTACTCTTTAGGTGGAAGAAATCATAAAACTGGAGGCCACAGTCACAGAGCTGCTTATATTTATATACAGGCACGCAGCTGGAAGTCCCTGCAGAGGAAGAGTCCTTGTTGGTTGAGCAGCAGCGGAGGCATGGGGAGACGGGGAGAGGTAGAGGATGAAGTACAGGCATGAGAGCGGAGGGAGAGAAGGAAACTTCGCTCTGCAGCTCTTTCTGTCTTAACTCGCGCTCCAGCATCACGTTTTCCAGCTCTTTGTCTGCAAAGGCTCGCCTCTTCCTCATGCGGGCGCTGATGGAGGGGCACGGGAAGTGGCTTTGGTGGCGCTGCTTAGACCAACTGGACACACCGTCCTCTGAGGTCATCAGATGTTTTAGCCCTGAACATGGGAGCAAAGCCACATTCTGCTATTACACATCCATTTTGTAAGGAACACCATGTTTCCATCTAATCAGCTTAAGTTTCACTACTGTGTTGTTTGTTAGTTTAATCAGGCGGTTGGTTAGTGCTGTCATTTTCACTTTGGAGAGAGAACAACAGGAATTAATCTGCATTTGATTTCCCTCCTAGTGCCTCATTCTTGGCCCTTTTCCCCATGTTTCAAAGGTCAGGGTGTCCTAGCTGTTCTGGAGGAGTATGGAGAGGGCAAATGGAAATGTCTTGGCAGCCTTTATGAATTGTATTTCAGGGGTACACTTAGAAACCAGAGGTCTGCAGCCAACCTGGCAAAGACTTGAAAAGCCTACATATGAATTTAGCCTCCCTAAGTCAAATCTTTGTAGAACAATCTTTCAACTACAGCTGTATGGATCTACAAGATGAAACTTTTGCCCATCTTTCTTTGCTTCATTGCTCAAGCTCAGTTAGATTTATTGGAGGGAGTCTGAATTTCTGGGATTGTTTGTTCCAGGTGATATGCAGTGTTAATGTCAACGACATACAGAATTTTTCATTTAGGCCAGAAAATTCAGCGATGGGTTGATCTGACCAGAGTACCTTCTTCCACAGGTTTACTGATTTCCCCTCATGGCTTTTAGCAAATTGCAAACTGGACCACTTAAGCTTAGATTCAACAGTAGCTTGCTTCTTACCACCGTTTGTCAAAGGAGTCTACAACTCTTCCACCTTAGCTGCAGATTGCTATATCTCTGAATATTGTTTTGCTTGCACAGTTTGTCTGCAGATAGATTTCTGTGTCTTGAAAGGTTTGACGCTGTGCCATTCTCTGCCCAATTAGCGATGATTCATTAGACGGTGCTCTGTGAGGTGTACAAAGCTTGATCTACTGTTTTAAAAGCTAAATCTGCTTTAAATTACTCTGCAACTACATCCCTGATCTGTGGTTTGTTCTTCTCTCTTGATGATGCTGTTGGGTTACTAATGTTCTCAAACATACTGCTGAATTCTTCATAAAACAGTTGCCTTTTTCCTGAGATCAGTTTTCCCACTTGGGACGTATTTACTAGGGGTCTTCTGAATACTATAGGTCGTACAGGTGTTTATGTCAAAGTATGAGAGCAAATGGACAGATTATAGAGGCATTCAACACTGTTGTATAAAATACAAATAACAATGCATGACTTTCCTTTCTCTTTATGGATATGTGCTACCTTGTTGACCCAGCGCATCAGTTCACATTAAAATGAATCAAAGTTTATGGTACCGTCACAGACTGTGAAGTACAGATGGCTTGAATTTAGACTAATCCTTAAAATGAGTCTAAATTTGAAAGCCTCAGGTTTTGTTACACATTAAATACTTTGCAGGCCACATCATGTGAACTATGAAAGTGACTCACTTTGGTTTTGACCATCGGAGGAGCAGCACAAGAATGTAAGCTGAGTTAAATTTACAAATAGTGAATTATAGATAGCTGTTAGTCAACCTTTAATTTCTGTTAATGTAACCCACGGAGAAGGAAGGCAAATATTTAAAAGTGTACTCAAAAGCAGACAAAAAGCACTTTCTAACAAAGTTCCTGAGAAAAGGAAAATGTGAATAAGTAATGGGGTGTTAATTATACTTTACCCTGCGGGTGGCTCTTAGCCACAATGCTTGAGTCAGCTGCTTTGGTAAAACACTGATATGCTGTTCTCCTCAATGGAGCTGAACACTTGACCCCCTTTTTACCCTGAGAGAAAAAGGTGAACAAGAATCAGACATCTGGACATAATTGCATTTTACAAAGGCACCCTTCTAGGGGCAATTAGGATGAGGAATCCATTATTTAAGACACTGGACAGAAATCATTAGGATTATTTGGTATTTGACATAAATGTACAATATTTAAATTTCCGCTGAAAACACAGTCATGCTATTTTCCTAAATAAATTGCATCTGATTACATATTATGTGTGTATATGTAAAGTGAATTGCTCTCGAGCTTTTGTCTGCACTGGTCAAGTTGAAAACAAAACACTGCATTTTATAAATAGAGAGATAATTGCCTTAAATCTTAAAAAAAAAAAATTGCTGGTCTTTTTGATGTGTTCTGCCAAATGTTATTTGAAAATATTTTTGTTAGTAGATTTCAATGCACAAATGCTAATTTGAAATGCAGTTTAAAGCTTCTGGTTAGAATAGAATAATAATCCCACATTGGGGAAATGTACTTGTTACAGCAGCACAGTAACAAAACATCCCCCATTATATAAGCATCTGTATATTAATGAAGGTTTAACTGATGTGCAAAATGTGACTGAAGAAAATACAGAGAAAATAAAAGGACAACTTTATCAAATTCCGAGTTCATTTTTTTTTCTTTTTTTCTGAGCTCTTTCGGTTTCTCACCACATTTTTATTCTATTTCTTTCTTGACGCACAATTTATATTGTCCTCACATAATATCTACATCTCATACAATCCACCCGCTGATTATTTGCAGAGCCTTCCTCCCCCCCCTTCTATCATCTGGGATCCACTGACCTGTCCATGCCCTCTTCTCACCTCGGCAGCCTGCTGCCTTCTCAGCGCAACCTGCGCTGCCATGACGCGCTGGCGCTCCACCACCAGCAGGCAGCAGGCGCATCGGCAGTCCCTCCAGCGGCAGAAGCGCTTGTGGCCTTTCAAGCACGACACGACGCCGTGGTTTCGACAGCGGGCGCATTTGGGGCTGCGGGTCATCTTGCGCTGAGCTTTCTGCTCGCAGCCCTCCGCAGACTCTGCCGTAGCAGCCACTTTTTTGGTTCTCTCCTTCGCTCTCGCCGCAGCTGTGATTTGCGTCGCTTACCGGCGCATCCGTCAGAGGTGGTCGCGTCAAAAACTCCCCCAGATTTTAGCTCTTTATTTTTTGCTGTTGTCTTCAGCTGCAGGCCTCCGTTCAGTTGTATGGACATCTGTGAGAGGAGAGGGGAATTTTACTTTTTAATCCATGGAGTTTTATTGAGCATATTTTGACAAAACGCAGCGAGATAATAAGCTGTTATAAGCAGTATAGAAATAACCAAAAACAGCATGCGTTTAGAGATTTTTTAAAAAATAAATTAAGATATTATACATTATAAAAACAGAACAGTCACATGCAAATCACATTCATCCTCTCATACAGGGGCTAATAAACAAACCAATCAACTTCTATCAGCAATAAAACTAATCGAAAAAAAAGTGTAATCCTGGATCTCCAGACAAGAATCCAAATTCCCACACCAACCCGGATACCCATGGGAAGATTTCCCTCACCAGCTCGTTGAGGCTTTTTCAGAGTGGAAACGTTGCAGCCAAACGTCGAGCCTGCCTCAGCTGCTCTTTGACGCCCTTTTCCAAGAAGCAGCTCGGCCGCAATGCCGAGCTCCCGGCAGAACCCACCTGCAAAGATTTAGGAACACCCGCGTTCAGTGGAAGAACGAGTCCCCCTCCTTTTAAAAGCCTCTACCTGCGCTGCCCTGCCCACCTTCCCAGCGCCTCTCGTGTTTCACAGACCTGGGATCGCTGCTAACAGCACATCTCAATTGAAGGCCACAATTATTGGGGAGCCAATGTTTCCCATACGAGTTTATTTAAAGCAGGTAGACTGGGGCTGGGTGGAGCTGGCCCAAGGCACAAGCAAACTGAGCGCCTGCTGAAGGCCCCCTGCTGGCCTGGGGTACTTTAAATTTGTGATTGCCAATAAGAATGTTGAAGACTTTAAAATTGCTGAAAGTTACCTTTTTTGTATTTATTTACAACTTCAATAATATTAAACAGCAAAATACAACTTAATACAACAATAATTAATTTAATTGATCAAATGAATCAATAAATCAAATAAAATTATCTCCTTCCTGAATCTACTCAGTAATTCATAGATGTTCCTTTTGTGGCTGTGGCCAAATCTAAGCAAATGTTTAGATTGTTGCTCAGTGTCTCTGAAGTTAGGATAAAATCAAGCGTTTTTCAACCAAATCTGCAAGTATCACTGTGGAATCTTTTATTAGATATCCTGAAATTCAGAATAATTTACATTTTACAGTGTCTGACTGATTACTTTTATAAGTAGTAAACAAACCCAGTGAGTGTTACGATCTGCTTGAGTTTGAACTTTGGGTGCTATTTGAATTTCTGTTTCGATCATTTCTATGTTGTTTATTTTGATGCATTGTTCATACTTTTGTTTTATCTGTTTATTATAACATTGTACAAATGAATTTGCTGCCCTAAGATTAAAGTTTTTCTTTCAGTTTAATGTTTCTGTTAGATTATGAAATCCTTAGGTTCATCTCTGTTCATCGCTCTTCCTTCCTCTGCTCCCTTCAGCCTGCTGCTCTTTGTGTCCTGTACAGGTGTCTCCCATCTCCTGATTGACTCACCTGCAGTCTTCTCGTTTAATTGTCCTTCACTGACTCCTTTCCTGACACTTCCTGTTTCCCTTCAGCTTAATATCCTGCTTGCCCTTGGTAAGTTTTGCTAGTATTTTAATTAAATATGTGTTTTGACTTAACTTAACTCAAACCCACAAAACATGACAGACTGAGGTCACTTTAAAAACTAACACTTGGTACGTTTATTAGTTGTTAATCTTGATATTATTTAATCCAAAAATAGAATTAAAATACCAGCTTTCAAAAAAAACAAAAGAAAAAACAAACAGTAAATTAATACCGTTTTATGTGAAGCCATAAAGACGTTGAAAAGTCTTCAACTGGTTGCATCCATTTTGCTGCTTACTTAGTCTCCATCAAGGAATATTTACTCCAGGGACGACTGCCAGAACAAATTAATAAATCAGATAAACAACATCTCAACAGTTTATGTGCTGCTGTTTATTTAATAACTACTGTGAACTGGAGTTGGGGGCCCAAATCAAGTTCTTTTTGTGGCCCTATGCAATCTGGGGTTCTTTCTTACAAATTATTATTTATATAATTCTTTATATAAGCAATGAAATTGGGTAATTTATAGCATTACACTAATCGAGCCTTATTTTAAAGCCACCAAACCAACTTATAACAGATTTCACTGCTGTATTTTTAACTCACTTGAGCTGTTGATAAATATTTAATGTGAAATCAAATCTCAAATCATAATTTCCTCTTGCAGATTTAGATTTCAAATTATTTTCGAGTCAACCAATAACTTTTTGATAAGAAATGACAGTTAGCTGTGATGATGATAAAACAATGTAAAAGAAGTACTGATTTTGAGGGAGAAAAGACAATTTATCTGTTTCATTTGCATTTTATTTCAAAAATGACTTAAAATGATTTACACCCTCCTCAGTAATGAATGGTAAACTTTTGATAACTGATAACATTTGAGGTTTGAGGGCCTCATTGCCATAATGCAAATCTTTAACTCCCTCCACAGGTGATTGAGGTTACTTTGAACCTAAACGTCTTTATGGTCTAAAAAAATTGGAGCTTAGCTGTACCTATTTTAATTCTATAGCTGATGGTGACAAGTGGCTTCAAATTTAAGGGACAAACTTCAGCTTTGAATGAGCTCCTCAAAGTGACCCAGGCAAAATGGAAAGACTGAGAGATCAAATAGCCATTTGATCATCCTAACACAACACCCATTTGAGAAATTTACAGTGGCTGGTAACTATTGGCATTATTACAATAATGTTATCTAAGTTAAGACAGAGAAGAGGACTAGTAAGATTTCATGCACCCACTGATGTTTTCTATGAGTGAGCTATACATTGGGTTGATTAATATAACTTGAGTGCTCATGCATGATGATCAGGAAAAAAAGCAGAAAAGTTTCGGGGAGTAGAATGACATTTTCATTATGCCCAGGAGTTATCTTGATGCTCATGTTTATTCATGACAACCTTAAAATGACTCTTGATGTCTCATACTTATTTCCAGTATAGAATCTTAGCAATACACAGCATATTAATTCTGTTTTAGATATATAAAGTGGGAGTAAGGTATAGTACTTTTTAATTTTATATCTGTTCATATCTCCCTTTCTCAAGGCATTTTCTTCTGTTTCCTCTGAAACAAACCTTCACAACTGCCCTTATGTTGGCTTTGGAAACAAGAAGGATGGTAAGAAAGTTGTGCTCTGCTCCCTGCTGGTGATACTCTGCAGCTACAAGTGGGGTAACTCCACAGCAATTCATTTGCCTGATTTTCATCTCTAAATTCCACAACAGAAGCCATATTTCCACAGCTGCAACTGTGTAAGGTAAGTGCTGTAACACACTGTGATCTTCTCCACCTGATCTTTTTAAGTATTTGCATATTTAATTTGGATGTTTCCTCACCACTAAAGGAAAAATAAACGGTTCATTTACATCTTGTCTTATATCGGAAGACGCAATAAAGTCTGTAATTGTCAGGGCAAACAGCCATCTTCTACACATGTATAATCATATATAGGGTTGTTTGGCTGAAAACTAGGTTACTATTGCAACACAGACACTCACGTATATGGATAATTTAGATGGAGAAATCAAACTGCATACTAGACAGACGGAACCCTGGGAGCTTGGAAGGAAACTGCACAAAATTCCAGATTATCCCAATTATGGAATTCGTCATTTTTTTTTTTTTTTTTGTTATTTTACATCTGGCTTTTCACAAGAAATTTTGAATCAATCAATCAAATTTTATTTGTATAGCACATTTCAGCAGCAAGGCATTTCAAAGTGCTTTACATAATTAAAATAAAAACGGCATGTGACATTGAATAAACAGTGAGAAAAAGAGATTTTGAAAAAACAAAAAAGCCTATTATCATATCTGATGAAACGCATGTAGATTTTTGTCTTCTTAAATGGAGTTACATTAAGATTAAACAAAATACATTGCAATAGGACAGTGTATTTTTTTAAAAAAAAGAAGATATCTTTTCTCATAATTCCAATGTATCAATTTCATAAGTTTTGATATGAAATTAGTCATTTACATTAAACTGAGTTGAGCAATATTCTGAATAAATTTGATAAAAATTGTGAGAATCCCTAACACCAAACGAGCTACCTGTCTTTCTTTTGATTCTTTTTCTTCAGATACACAAATCCAGTCTTCATAAAGGTCAAAAAATGCTTCTGGCAAAGATAAAAAAATCAATGAAGTGATGGCCGTTGCATCCATCATAGTTGCGTGAAGAATCATCTCTAATCAGAGAAGCAGGGACAACCTTGATTCATTTGAATTATTAAGAACATATCAACATTTAGATCTGATTTACATAGTTGGTTCTGTATTTTTTAAATGTATATAGGATCTTTTCAAGAACTATTATTTCCTATATTTTGTTTACTTGTCTAAAGAATAGTGGTAAACCCCATTTTTAGTGTATGATGCATAATGAGATCAAAGTATCCTACTCCTTTTCGAGCATGTTAATATAGTACAAAATATGTCTTTTGCATTTCATGTTCATGTGTGTGATTTTATACTTCTATCATGTTCAAAATATCTGAAGCTCAAGGGCTCAGGTGGCTAAGGGCAGGTAACCTTTGGTCTGGAGTCCAGACATTGCCATAAACAGAGTTGAACTCCCAGGACATTTCAGTTGTTAGCTTGAAACGGAATGAAAGATCTGATGTCAAAGATGTTGGTGGAAGCCAGAGCCAGCTGAGCCTCTAGATATGATCTTATTGTGAGATCGCCAATTAAAACTAGTAGATGTCTGCAGAGATGGATACAAAGAACCTATAATGCTGATCAGAAGCTTTGTCCCCTCATTAATCTGACAGGGGAAAATCTGAAACTGATTTTGTGCAAAGATTTACCAGTGCAAACTCTAATGGGTGATGTGGAGCTCTTATTTTTTTTAGCCTTTTTACAACAATGATGGCCTTCTATCTTAACTCTTATCATATCTTAAAAATTGTTTTTTAAAATTAATTATTGAATTTATTGATCCATATATCCATTCTCTATACCTTCTTCTCCTTGTATGGCCTCGGGGCGCGTTGGGGGGATGTGGCTCATCTCAAGTGGCCCAGGCTGGACAGATCGTCAGTCCATCACAGGGAAACAAACATGCACTCACACACACACTACTAGCTAAGGACAATTTTCAATTTTAAGGACAAGATCACTCACCGTAAGTCATGTTTTTGGACTTTGGGAGAACATGCAAATTTCCAGTACATTCAAATCTCATGTGCTGGGTTCAAAACCAAACCCTTTATTTGTTAACCCATGACCTTCTTGATGCAAGGCAACAGTGCTGTATTTAATTATATAGATTTAAAATCATAAATAGTTTGCTTTTAAAAAGCTATTATTAGCTTGATGGCCATTTAAAGTGTGATTACACTTCAAGTCACATATGCCCATCTAATTCATACTGAGCAGAGTAGGTCAGAGCCAGTGTGTGTTGCCCAAGGACTTTTTGACATGTGGTAAGGAACTGCCAGCTATTGCCATTAAACTGCAAGACCCCACTTTTGCAGTTTGTACATTTGTTCATCTGTTTTGTTTTCAAATTCATTAAAATTGTTTGTCATAGTCACTCCACCCTGAAAAAAAAAAGCTGTTCAGATTTACAATTGCTCTATCATTAAAAATTATGATGAGTGTATTTAAACCTCTCATTGCAACTGCATAATGTGCCACAGTACAGTCAGAAGAAAACTAGCCAGTGGGAGCTATCAAGTCAACAAAGCACAAGCAAGATCAACAATAAGTAAATTTCAATATTTTCTTAGCAATATACAAAGAAAACCTTGGAGGAGTTTTGCAAATACCTGCAGCTGATATTTCAAAAGTATATCTTCACAAGATGGGGACAGATAAACTCTGATCATCAGAGCACGTCCCTTTCAGGTGGAATACAGAGGCCGCAGTGGCCTGTTCGTATCAAAGGAGACTCCAAAGGGATAAAAAGGAACTGCCATACTCTGGGGAATTACTGCAGAAAAAGGGAGAAAAAAATCAATATCATTTTTAAGAAACGCATAGGGACCATGGGATCCTTTCAGCTTCCATGTGGGAATAAAACCCGAATACTTTGTTTTTTTTTTTTTTTTTTTCCTTTTATGTTTTATCTGTGCCACACATTTAGTATACAGGCAGGCAGCAGTAACAAAGTGTAATTGTCAGGCTCCTCTGAACATGGTCTCATTGTCAGTTTTTTTTTTTTTTTTTTCCACAAAAGTTTCAGGCAAAAAAAAAATCTATTGGTAATTATAATATGTATGAAAGAATATCTGCTGCAGGAGAAATAACTTAAGCCAATTCAGAAACACCAAAAACAAGAAATGTCTCCAGCTGTTAACTTAAGTTCTACCTCAAAACAATTCTGCCTGGCCCCAGTCTGTATTTGGTACCGGCAATTCAGTACTTTATGTAGGACAAACATCTCAGACAATGAAAGACAGTTTGGGAATTGTTTTTCCAAAATGTCTGCCTGGCTGGTGTGTTTGTTGAAAAGAATTGGTGCAAAACGAAGATTCCCCACCCCTCTATATACATGTATTTGCATATAATCAGCTTATAAATTAATCTTTTATTGCTGTACGATAACCTCCCAGTGACAGTTTTAGAAAAATCCCATCAGTCTGGGATACAGAAAAAAAACCTTGGAAAAGCGCCAACCGAGTCAATGTAACCTTGCCGGAGTAAAAAACTCAGAACCTGCAGGATGGAGTCCAAATGTTCCCATGTCTTGTGACTGCTGGAGGGTTAAACATTTCAAATTTTGCTTTAATGGAAGCAGCTTCGTCTCCTCCAAGTAGCAGGAGGAGTAACTGTTGTTGCTGATGTTGGTAAAAGAAAGTAGGAGTGCACTGACTGCAGTTTTCTGGCCAATATTTAAAAAGCCTGACTGATTTTGGCGTATCCCTATTTGTTTCTGTATGAAGTATAGCAAAAATGTTGTGAAATGCGTTCTTTTTTTTTTTTTAACCTGAATCATCCTGGGGTTTTAGTCCCATTTGACCGGACTGTAAATTATAGAATTATGTTGTAGAACATTTCTATTTTAAAATGTACATTTTAAAATAACATAACATAATTTAGGCATTAAGCATGAAAGTATGTACAGTGTCATTTTAAAGTGAAAATAGTCCCACAGAAAATATTTTGTACAAAATGGACAATATTTTGACATGAGAGGTGGAGCAACAAAGACAAACAAATATCCTCCTATTGTCACACTAGGTTCTTAGTATGGTGTCAGAACTATTTTTATCTTTTGTAGTTTCATCAATGATAAATTCCTTGAGTTATGTTTGCCAATCTGAACATATTTGGTCAAATGACTCATGACTTGAAATTCAAAGTTCAGGACTTGACTCTGTGCCTGCATGTCTCAAATAAAACCCACCTTTGGCTGCTTTAGCTTGCAGATGGTGATTTCTGGTGGGGAAGAGGTCCAGGAATGGATGCAAGGATGAGAGGCTGTAGTTTGGTGGAATTACATTTAGGATGTGCATTATGTGGTACAGTACGTCCGTGAAAACAGATAAGTACCCCCCTTGCTGATAGCATCAGCTTTTCCCGCTGCCTTTGGTAGAGTGCACTCTCTCCAAGCTCCTTGACTGTCAGACAAAATTGACTGTCATCACCACAGACATATTGCTCTTGTATTCAAGTCACATGACCGTCACTTGGCCCTACTTTCTTCAATGTCCTGCAGTTCTACTGAGAGTCGTCCGCATCAACTAGCATGTTTTGTTGCAAATATAGAGTTTGACAGACTCTTTGGCTTATGCTGACATGTCTGCCTCGATCAGCCTCTCTCTCGGCGACGGAACACAGGGGTTAGACAACCTGCTCGAGATTTTCAAGGACAAGAGGGCTGCTCCAACTTAAAATAATGCAATGGAGGAGTTTGAGAGGTTCCAGACAAACTCCAGGGCTGAATGTCAATTCACTTCAAAGAGAAAAATATAAAGACATTGAACTATGTTTTCGCAGGGCCTTTACACAAAGGTTTTAGAAGCTTTATCCACCTACTTTCAAAGACTGGGAGACACCTTGGCACTTATCAGCGCAAGACAGGGGCTATTAAGCTGACAGTTTTTTCCCAAGGAGGCTTAACCTGCACCTTAGAGATTGTTTGAGTTGTCAGGCTTCTAAAGGTGGAACAAACACCTGCTTAAATTAATGTCAGTAAATTAGATACAATTATGCTCCCTCTAGGTGCTCTCTGAATATGCGGTGCAAAGTCGCAGTGCAAGAAATGTGACATGAACCAGAGTGACGACTTTTTGATAAAACCGTCAA